CCCCCCCCCCCCCCCCCCACAGGAAACCACACGTACCGCGCTCTAACTTCCTGGACAGGTGCTGCGGTCACCTTTTGGTCCTTGCAACGTACTGATCATGGCCTGATCTCTATTCTAATTCCCAAAGCTGTCACCCAGCTTCTCTGCTCGCCTGTTGCAGGTGCATACGAGCAAACAGTTCAAGCTCGAACCTTCGCCGACTCTTGTTCAACGAATGGAGCTTCTGTCAGGGAACAAGACCCTGGGCTCTATGCGAAAACAGCAAACCTCTTTAACTCCCGCAAACATTTGACAACATAAGTCTCGACATGTAACGTCACAGCCTCTGCTAAATTTAAAATCTCAACCCTAAACTTTCAAACCGTAGACCCTAATTAACCTTTTGGGATAAATCGTCGACCTGCGCCCGGCCCTTCGCATCTTTGGCCCAGCCAGGCGCAGGCCCGCAGTCCCTTCGGGACTGAACTCGCATCACAGTGCGGGCAAATGATGAGGTCTGTCATGACAGAGTTTGTGATTCTGAAATGTTTATGGACGACCATGGATACAAAGGCAATGTGGTGCAGATATCTACAGTTCAGGGATGCAGGTTTTTTGGGAGCTTTCACGGCTATGATTCTGACCCTGCCACCCCAACCTCGGAAACTTGCCTGCCCTCTTCCGCTTGCCCCACTGAGATTGGCCTTCTCATTCCGAGCGCCAAAACGTGTCACACCGACACTCCGCAGTCACATTGGATCTTAGAAGACCGAATGAGCCAGCAACGAAAGCTCTACAAACTCCTTTGACCAAACCTAAGCACACGTCCAAAAGTCCGAAAGATTTCGTCAAGAGTACTATCGATCTCACCAAGCTGACACACCAAGCCCTTCCAAGCACCGCGGCTGGACGCAGCCAGCTAAGTGCATTCGAAAAACTGGCATATCCAGCACGACGCAAGTCACAAGCAGGCAAACCGATGCGACAGCCAACCACTGCAAGCAACAGACACAAGAACGGCTGCAACGAAAACAGGAGCCACACCATAATCACTAGCAGGCTAGGGACAACGACAACGAAACAGACCCACAACCACACGAACTGCCGCAGCAGCAACAGACAGCACACTAGCAACGTCGAGGACACTAGCAGCAGCAGCAGCAGCAGCAGCAGCAGTAGCGCCACCATCATTAGCAGCAAGCCGCAACAGAAGCAGAAGCAACTGCAGCAGCGACAGCAGCAAATGCCAGAAGCCTTTACATTGAGACAATCCGCATGCACCAGGAGGGAGACAGCACCGCAAACATCAGCATCGAGAACACACGCAACAAAGCATGAGGTGATTAGCAAAAAAGCTTGCAGGTCTAATGGTCATGACCAATTCAATGCTCGTGACGGCAAGCACAATCAAATGTTAATCTTCACGTTTTGCTAGTCACAACCATGCGCGTGTTCATCCTACTAATAACAGGAACAACCTGGAAGAGGAACTTGTGTCAACCATGATAGTCATTCCATACTAACTGGTTTGAACCCGTTATGCTGAGATTACCTCTTGGCTCACTCTGTCCCCCAGAAGGTTGAAAGCTAGGGAGGAAGAACCTAGGGCCCGTGGAGCCAGAACTGAAGTCCATCATGCAACACATGCCTGAATCAGGCACGGTTCTTCCGACCTAGTGTGGAGGCTTGCTCACTGGCCTCCATGTGCGATCGTCTCTTGACGAAGTCTAGCAAACAAATTCTGTCGGGCCTGCAAATTCCCGAGAGCCCCACCCTAGGCCTGTGCGGACCGCTGGTAAACAGATGCAGCCCCAAATTTCCAAGGAAGCGAAAAAGCCTCGACGCGCCCTGATTACCTTCAACCTGAAAATGTCAAGCTTGAGGCTTAAGGCTTTTCACCTTCTTTAAGCATGCGCTCGCAGGGAATTCGAAGTCTCGACGCGAGCTCTGAACACGGTCCCAACTTCACGGATTCAGGTTACGCACAACTTCGGCCTATCGCCTATCTTGTGGCAGGATTCCTAGCGGACTCGTCTGGACTGCTTCGCTGGACATGAGGTTCTTGGCATCTTCTCGCACAGCAAAACCAATCCCTTAGCCCCAACCAGACTCTAACTAACAATCAACCAAATCCCTGCTCCGAGCTGCGTCGAAAGTGCGTTCGACCCTTCAAACAGCTTCTCGAATGCTTGACAAACTTCCACTTTACCAGAAGACCTCGAGGCAAAAATGTGTCCTGGATGTTGGGCTGGAGTGCTGCATGTACGCAGTTCTAGGTGCATTTACAGGCCTCTCAAAATACAGCATCAGCTTGTAGTCTGACAAGTCGCGGCAAATCGGACGAGTCTCAGGTTTACGAGCATCCTCCTGCACAGTACGAGGAAGAAATGCCTGAATCCGACATGGACCTGTCCGAAAAACGATGCACGTAGGTACACGTAAGATATCCATCTGATTGGAACGGGCCAGGCGGTTCCCGACTTGCTGGCGGCTGTACAAGTCATTATACGGCATCATGAGTTTAGTCAGGTCATCCAAACCGATCCAGCCCAACCAACCACTCGTGATGCTACTGCTTACTGATCTTACTGCCTCTTACTGCTGCTTACTGATGCCTGCGGCTACTGCCGCTACTACTACTACTGCTACTACT